TCTCCTGGATCATAGGTCAGTGCTCAACCGCTGAGCCACACAGCTTTTAACACAGAGAAAGCATCACAAGGCTATTATATTTGCATAGAAAGAAGTGGAGAATCAAAAGAAACACATGAATTCAGCAAGTGTGCTTGGGGTAACTAGGATTTGGAAATGTGCTCCCCATGGACTGCGCCCAGGTGATTCTCAATTGCTTCTATTTAATCAGACACAGTGAGATGGGGGCGCTGGAACTCCAGGAGTGTTCACATAGGAGGACAAGTGCTTGGCAAGCTTGAAAGGGCTGGCAGCATTTCGAACATGGGGAGGATGGTGAAAGAAGATATGGAGCTGAAAGTAGAAAAATTTATCAAAGAACAAAGCCCAGCTAGGGAAGGAAAGTGCAAGAAGAGATCAGGAAGCACAGGGTGGGATGGGCCTCTCTAAGGGAGTCTCAGGCCGGGAAGCTGGGTCTGGACCTACATGACCGGATGCAGCATTCACAAGCACGCCCTGAATAGCAAAGCTGTTCCTGGACGTTTGGGCTGAGCTCTTCTGTACTCTGCTCTCACAGAACCTCTTTCTTCCTGTCAGAGTACTTGCCTCTACTTGTTCTAAAGGTTCATTCATTACTGTGAGTCATTGTCAGGCTCACCCTTGACCTGGAAGCTCCATGAAAGCAGGGAGTGCATTTGTTTTGGGTATGATGATATTTCCCAGGTCAAAGCAAGCATGGTGCAGATACATGGGGGCACGCAACAAATATTTGTGGGATGGATGACGAAATTATTCAGGACTCTCATTAATGATCCCACCCACAGCCATGGCTTCAACCACCACTCAGAGGCTGACAACACTGAAATATCTATCTCCAGCTCAGTTCTCTCCTCCAGAGTCATGTATCAAACAGTCTACTCAACATTTTCACATGAAAACATTAGAGCATCTCAATTACACTAACAGGTCCAAAACTGAACTTGTGAACTCCTCACTTCCCAGTTAGTTTCTTCTCAAGTGTTCTTCATTTTAGGGAGAGGGATCCTGTCACCTCTACCAGGGCTTACAGTCTTGATACCTCCTTCCTCTTCATTCCTGCATCTCCTGTCTATTAGCAAAACTTTCATTTCCATCTCCTAAATTCTCACATTACAATTACTTCTTTCCACACACCACGGTGGTTAAGAGTGCAGGCTCTGGAGATGGGTTGACTGGGTTTGAAAATAGGTTCCACCACTTACTAGCAATTTGCTTAACTCCTCTGGACCTTGTTTCCTTATATACAAAATGAAGATAATAATAGTGTGTGCTTGATAGGATTCTTTTGAGAAGTCAATAGGATAATGCATATGTTGTGCTTTCAAAAGTGCTGAGTTATCATCACCACTATCCCCTTGACCTTCAGCAGCAGCATTACCATCATCATCATCACCATTATAACCACATCATCATCATCACCACCATCATCACCAATCCTCATCACCACCACTACCATCACCATCAACACCATCACAAAGATCATTATCACCACCACCATCATTACCATCAACATTATCATCACATGGCTACAATCCTAATCTAAATTACCATCATCTGGATTACTGCAATAGTCAGCCACCTAACATCTCCCCACACCCAGTCTTGCCTTCTTCCAGTGTATTTTCCACTATGTAACCCAAGTGATCTTTTAAAAATGCAATCTCGTATCATTTATATGCTTAAACATATCAGTGACTCCCTACAAGAGGTGGGGTAAAATCCAAAATCAATGTGGTTTAAATAGGCAATCTTGGCCATTCTTTAGCTTCAAACCTGTCCTGTGCCTCCCCACTTCAGGACCTTCAGATGTGCTTTTCCATCTGCCAGTAACACTCTGAAATGTTGCTTATACTCATTGTCTCCACTCTCTGACTGCACAACGCCTTCTGTCCCCATCTCTCCACTAAAACTGTCCAACTAGAAGTCGTTATGGCACCTGTTACAAAGCCCATAAACCTATTTTCAGCCTTTTCTGATTTGACCTTTCTGAGTGTCTAACGCTGCTAACCGCTCTTTCCTCAAAGTTTATTCTGCCTGTCTCCCCTGCCTGTTCTTTTGTTTCTTGTTTGTTTGTTTCTCTGATGATTCATCTTTTTCCTTCGCTTATTCCTCTTTCTCTTCCAGTCTCTAAGAAGTTGATTTCCCAAGATTTCCTAATTGGAACTCTTTCTCTCGCTCTACTCATTCTCTGTGGGTGATTCTATCCGTTCACATGCTACCCATTGCATAACAACTTTTAAATCTTCAACTCTAGGTCCTTTCTCTCTCCTGAGCTCCAGGCCCACTTTCCTCCAAGGGGGTGTTTCATAAATACAACATGTGCAAAGCTGAAATCTCAGCATGCCCTTTCTTCCTCTGTTGTTAGCTCAATGAATGGTACCAACACCCATTCAGTTGCCCAAGCAAAAGCTTGAGTCATTTTGTCTCCTTCCATTCTCTCCCTCCCTACATCTAGTTAACCATCAAATTCTGTTGATTTTTCCTCCTTAGATGCACTCAGATCTATTGACTTGTCTTTGTTCCCAATGCCACCCCCTTAGTTTAGGCCCTCATCATTTCCCACCAGCACTGTGGCGACAGCTTCCTAACCCGTCTCCCTTTCACCAGCCTTTCCTCTCTCGCGCCCTTTTTGTACTGCCTTCAGAGTTTAAGGAAAAGAGATCCCTAAATGATTTTCCAGAGAAGTAGTGGTCCAACTTTTAAAAGATGGGTTTCTTAGGCAATTAAGAAATGGCTTACTTAAGAACACACCACCTCTGTGCCCTTTCTTAGTGATCCACCATGCATATCAGCATATTTAATGTTCTGATAAGTCTTGTTGCAAAGAAATCTGTTCAGAATTGTTTAACCAAGCATTTCTCAAACTCTCTAGGACACACTTCTTAACATCTTGCAGGATACTATGTACTGTTTCAAAACACAAATCTGTCTTACATCTCTGTTTGAAAATATGACAGATAAGTGGATAAACACTAGAAGAACACAATTTGAACTTTATTCTATGGGCAGTTAGAAATCCTTGGAGATTCCTGAGCAGGGTAACAACCTAATACCCACACAATCAATAACTTCCAATGACTGAGCTCCTACTATATGTATGCTCTTCTCACGTATCATCTGTAATCCTTACAACAAGGCTACATGTCGGCACTATCCCGAGAGAGGAGACTGAAGCCAGGTTGGTTAAGTGTTGGGTTTAAGGCCACATAACCAATAAGCAGAAAGCAGTATTTGACTCAAGGTCTAGGTGGCTTTAAAGCCATGGCTGTTTGCAATAAATAGGTGATATTTTGCCTGCAGGATTGGAAACGAAAAACCAGGAGGCTTTGACATAAATTTCTAGAAGGCCATCACATGTTTCTTTGTTCGCCACCTCCGTTCTCACATCCCTCCAGATAGTGCCTCAGGTACTAGCCATTCTTCTTAAACTTGGGTCTCATTGCCCTATCTGTGGCCTGTTGTGTTTTTTCTCCTTAAGCACCGAGCAAGACATCAGACAGCTCCAGGAAAGCCTCTCCCTTGCTTAAAAATGTGTCCCTAGTGCCTGAACAAGTCCAAATTCCTCAGCCTGATATTCTAGGCCCTCCCTTATCTGCCATCAACTTTTCCTTTCTGATCTTGACTTTAGACACTTTTCTAAATATAAGCTATGCTCCAGCCTAACCTAATACCCACAGGAAGACTCAAGAAGTACAGAGTTAAGGAGGTATGAAAACACCCTCCTGGAAGAAGGTGTCCAAGGCTTACTCTAAGGGCACAGTTGTACCTACATATCCAGAACCATGAGATGAGCAAATAAGGCCCTAATCAAATCAGTTACAGGAAAAGGAAGGAGTAACCAAACCATAATCAATTGTGATAACTGGCCAAGGCAGTGACCTAATCAATTACATTCTGCTCTGGTGTACTGAAGCATAGAGTGTGCTGTAATAGATGGAAGGCAGCCAGGCAGACAGACGTGCAGAGGCTCTTCTGGTCAGTGCCGGCACCGACCAGAAGAGATGCTCACTGGGCTTGGGGGATATTGACTTTTAGGACAATAAAAGTCCTCAATTGGTAATGAGAGGACTGGAGAGAATTCATCCAGCTTTCTCAGACTTGATTAGTTTTCCCAAAAGTCCCCTGCTTCCTTTGTTCAAATTACCATCCCACCAAACAACCTTTTGAGAACCAATTTGGCTTTCTTTTGCACCATCAGAAAGGAATATTCTGGGCAGTAAAGAGGAATATCCTCAGGGTATCTACCTCATGGGGTCATTGGGCAGATTCAGTGAGATAATATATGTAGAGGAATTAATCCAGGTTTTACACAGTAATTGTCCAAAAAATGTGGGCATTTAAATCTATCACTGTCTTGTAACTGTTTCTGATGACAAGTTCTTCTACGTTTGGTTAAGCTGAACTGGCTTCCTGGTGTCCAGGTGTCCTGATGACGGTGGACACCTGGACTTGCAAAACAGATTCCATGGCCCTGGATGAGAATAAGCCAATTGAAGTGTTGCCTCAGAAAGGGCCTGCCAAACACTCACCTGGTCTAGGACATCTCTAGTTCATGATCATCCTCTAAATGCCCCCACCAACTCCCGTATCTAAGCACCCAGCACATGCCTTATACCACTGTTATTCTACTTTCACTTCATCACTTGTGTCTCTAATTCCAACTCCATCAGAGTGTAAACTCTTTTACATCTCTTGCAGAGACTCAAATGTCATATATATTTAATGAGTTGAAATGAGTTGAATCCAAGACCAAGCAAGTGATCTGGGGTTCTATGGAAAGCTATAAAATCTGTCCCCCGGGCTACTAGTAAGCTGGGTTGCAGACCCCTGGAGGGAAGGCCTGGCTCTGCAGGTGGACAACTTCTCCCTTGGTGCCTGCAGCCCAGGGGAGCCCACTAGGCTGAAGGAGGTCCATTTAGCTACCCTGAAGGAGAGGGACAGACAGACAAACGGACAGAGCAGGCACAGCCCTCCACACTCACCCGGATCTCAGTCTGCACAGTGCATTTAACCAGTTTGAAGTTCTTCCCAGGGTTGAAGCTGTTGCTGTAGAAGCAGACCTTGAGGATCCGCACGTCTTCTTTTTCCACATCTACTGGCGCCACCACCATGGGCTCTGGGGGGCCTTCTGGCCGACATAATGTGCCCACCTTTACTCGGCCCAGGGGCTCGGACACCCCAGACATCCTCTCAGACAGCAGCTAGGCCCGGCACATCGCAGTCCTGTGGAGACAGCGGAAGGAGAGCCCTGAAGCAAGTCATGTAGGCTCATATGCCTCACCCCCCAGGGACAGCACCCACCAAGCTGAGACCCACGCAAACACCTTCTCCCGTCCCCAGAAACCTCCCTTAAAGGCACTAGGGTTTATTGGCTGGGAGAAGCTGAAACACAAAGGATCCGTTTGCATAAACATCGGGGTATGAAACCCAGACCTGGAACTCCCAGGCTGTGAGTACTCTCTTCCAGAAGCCCCTCTCTCCTTCCTTTTCTCTTCCCACACTGGCTCCTAGGCAAGGGGCCCACACTTTGCAAACGAAGCTGTGAGAGGAGGCGGCCACCGCATGGTTCCAAGGCACAGCTGAGCAGAGAAAGCAAAGAGGACAGTGGAAAATAGCAGGAGAGAAGCAGGGACAGGGGAAAAAACCGAGAAGCAGCAGAATTGGAGAATGGGCGGCCTGGAGGGCACTGGAACAGAGAGGGCAGGAAAGGGCCCAGGTAGGGGGCCAGGCCATCAGCTGATGGCTTTGTCAGCCTCCATCCGGAGCTACCAGCCTGAACTTTCTGGGCAGGAGGCCTCAGCCCCACAGGAGCTCACCTATAGCACATCGTTCACTGCATGCAGGAGAATTGAAGAGTAATAGCACCCAGCTGCCCAGTTTGGAAGGTCTTTGTGCCGGGTGGAAGGGGCAGACCCGCCCAGTTCTGATGACAACTTGGTTGACACTTATATGGACTATAAGAATCCTAGGGATCTTTAGTTCACCTTGAATCTTAGCAAAAATTGGTCCTTTTGACCCAACACAACACTGCTGGGTTTACCTCCCACTGGTCTAAAGCAGCAGTGCCCGAAGGAAGCAATGGAAGTTCTATCTCCAGACCGGTGGTGTCAGCCTCAGCTCCACATTAAGATCCCCTGAGAAGACTTTAAGAAAGCCTAAATCCAGGCCCTATGCTCAGAGACTGACACTGAGTTTATCTGTGGGGAGGCCCAGAATTGATATTTTTAAGTTTCCAAGGATTTTTCTAACATTCAGCCTAGGTTGGGAACCACTGTTCTAGACTGTTTTGGTCTCATTCTGAGCCCATACTTACAGAAACAGATCTCCCTTCTAACAAAAGACTGGGGGACATTTAGGGGGACATTCCTAAACCAGAAGAAGTTGGGGGCAAAAAAATGGAGTTGGCAATGTTAAAATACAAATGCAGCATCAAATATTTTAGAAGTGGAAGCAAAGTCTGTACTCATTCATTCATACTGTGCTGGGCACTGGAAAGGAAGATGCATACACCCAGTCACTAGCTTTAGAGAGTCATTCCTATTGCTATGAGGACGAGGGAAGGAGCAGGGCATGTCCCTTCCATTGGGGGCAGGCAGAGCACCAGCCTGACTCCACAAGGCAGCCAGAATTTGAGACAAGATGGAAAAAATAATCTTCAGTCTGCTTTATTTTAGAGACTAATATGAATATACTAGAAGTACTCATGCATTTTTCAACAAATATCTTCTAAGCATGTCCTGTGAGCCAATACTCTGCTATGTAAATGGCATGTGCCTAAGTTTCCCCAGACCTTCAGTAAGGACTCCAGCAGAAGTGCTTTAAGAGGAAACCCACTAGAGAAGTGGGGCACATGTGACAGGGAGGGGAACACAGCCAAAGGAGGGTTATCGATCAAGTTATCATCACTTGGGCAACTGCAGAGTAATTCCACAGAGCTAGCTACTCCTCCCAGAGAGGGAGGGACCTGGGTATTTATACACTACATTTCCCCCCTTTTTTTATTGAATTTATTGGGGTGATATTGGTTAATAAAATTATAGGTTTCAGGTATACAATTCTATAATTCATCATCTGTATATTGTATTGTGTGTTCACCACCCCAAGTCAAGTCTTCTTCCATCATCATTTATCCCCCCTTTCCTCTCTTCTACAATCCCTCCCACTCCCTTTTCCCTCTGGTTATCACCACACTGTTGTCTGTGTCTGTGAGTTGTTGGAGGTTTTTTTTTATTGTCTTTTTGCTGTTGTTTTTTGTTTTTTGCTTAACCCCTTCACATTTTTCACCCATTCCCCTAACCGCCCTCCCCTCTGACAGCTGTCTGTCTGTTCTCTGTCTATGAGTCTGTTTCTATTTTGTTTGACAATTTATTTTGTTCATTCGATACCATGAGTGAAATCATATGGTATTTGTTTTTCTCTGACTGGCTTATTTCACTCAGCATAATGCTCTCTAGGTCCATCCATGCAGTCGCAAAAGGTAAGATTTTCTTTTTTACGGCCGAGTAGTATTCCTTTGTGAAAATGTGCAACAACTTTTTTACCCACTCATCTACTGATGGGCACTTTGGCTGCTTCCAAATCTTAACTATTGTAAGTAACACTGCAATGAACATAGGGGTGTCAGAATGACTGTCATCAGTAAATCAACATACAACAAGTGTTGGCGAGGATGTGGAGAAAAGGGAACCTTCATGCACTGTTGGTGGGGATGCAGACTGGTTCAGCCACTGTGGAAAGCAGTATGGAGTTACCTCAAAAAATTAAAAATGGAGCTGCCTTATGATCCAGCAATTCCACTTCTGGGAATTTATCAGAAGAAACCCAAAACACTAATTCAAAAGAATATACACACACCACTTTGTAGTCATCGTTCCAAGCATTTCAGCCAGTTCTGCACAAGGGAGAGTGGACACAGGAGCCAGAGAAAGTCTTCAGACACAAAGATGCAGATGCTAGTGCGCTAAAGTATGGGGAGAATACAGAAATGACAAGGCCCAAGGGGCTATCAGAGGAAACAATGAGAGATCTGCTACCGGATGTGAAAATGACACCAGGGTGTCTTGCCCTTAAAGAACATACACTAGTCATAGAGATAAACAGGCATAATATACACACAGGTAAGTAAATAACACATACAGATTCAGGATCTGCTGTGTCTACTGAGCCAGGGGCCCCATGACTCCTGGCTTCTATTTGTATGAACTAATTTTCAGGCCGGGGCTTCATGAAGCAGCTTTGTGAAATGGGTATCTGGGGTAGGAAGAAAATGGAATAGCATATGGTGGCTGTCCCCAGGGACTAGATTCTACTAATGGAAGCCAGAGGGCCTTCATTCCAAAGGTCACTTGGAAACCAGGGGCATAATCAGTGCTGTCATGTCGGCTGGTGGGGACGTGAACTCAGAGCTGCAAAAAAGAACATTATATCCACATCTGCAAGTCACACCATGCGGCTTCTAGGCATCCACAATAAAGGGGATGGGGGCATTCAGGACATGTCCCCCAGCCCAGGCAGCATTTTCAACCAAACGGTGCTAGTGCCAGTGAGCCAATGGGAGACCCTCCAGGAAGTCCTTGAAACACCAGGGAAGGGTGTGAGAAAGAACAATGGAGTAGAAATAAGATGTCAGTAAAATTCATGAGAACTGGCTGATGCAATCTAAGAAACCCCATTTGTACACATGCACAGCATTTTCTGAAAAGAAGAGTGAAGAAGATAAGCTCCCCTTGAAAGGCAGAGCACAGGAGCAGAGATACAGCCGGGGATTAGAAACCTGGGCCTGGGACAGGGGCCAGGGCTAAGTCTTGGGTGGGGAGGGAGGTAGAAAGGGATTAGACCCCACAGTGCTTTTAAACCTGTGCAGCTGCAGCCAACAGTACAATCAAATGTGGCCCTTTTAAACTTGAGGAACCAAGATGATATAAACATGTAACAAGGATATGGAGCAACAGGAACTCTCATTCATTGCTGGTGCAAACTGGAAGACAGTTGTGCAGTTTCTTACAAAATTAAGCATAATCTTCCCATGCAGTCCAGCAATCATGCTTCTTGGTATTTACACAAAGGAGCTGAAAACTTATGTCTAACCAAAATCTGGACATGGATGTTTAGAGCATCGTTATTCATAATAATTGCCAAAACTTAGAAGCAACTGAGAAGTCTTTCAATAGGTAAATGGATGAACTGTGGTACATCCAGACAATGGGATATTATTCAGTGCTAAGAAATAGGCTCTATTAAGCCATAAAAAAAGCATGGAAGAACCTTAAATGTATATTACTAAGTAAAAGAAGCCAATCTGAAAAGACTAGATGCTCTATGATTCTAACCATATGACATTCTGGAAAAGGCAGACAATATAAAGGTCAGTGGCTGCCAGGGTTTGGGGGAAGGAGGGCTGAATAGGGGAAGCACAGCATTTTTAGGGCAATGAAAAATACTCTGTATGATACCATAATGGTGAACACATTTGTCCAACTCATGGAATGTACAACACCAAAAGTATAACCTTAATGTAAACTAGGGACTTTGGGTGACTAGAATGTGTCAATGTAGTAGGTTCACATTGTAACAATGTACCACTCTTGTGGGGGATGTCAATAGTGGGGGAGGTTGTGCGGGTATGGGGGGCAAGGGGTATGTAGGAAATCTCTGTACCTTCCTTTCAATTTTACTGTGACCCTAAAACTATTTTTGAAAAAAGTTTATTAAGAAAAAACAACAACACGTAAAGCTGAGAAACCACAGCCTGATAGTTGAGCCCCTGCCCGGCCTGGCTGGGCAGTGTCTAGTCCACTCAGGAGTCAGCCCCTACCCCCACTCTGACCAAAGAGAAATGTTCATGTATTATATCTGGCTGAGTGCAGCCCACCCAGACCGATGTGTTGGCCACCACCAGCATGCCTGCAGGACACTGGTTTCTCATCCTCAGTAGTTTCCTTGACCCTTGTTGAGGAGTCGTCATTCACAGTGGTCAACATGGCTCCAGCTGAGATATTTTAGCCAAGTCATTTCAGGCACCCAGGATCTACCTTTACCTTCAGCCTGATGTGGGTTCCTCAGGTCTACCTTTAGTCCTGTGCAGCAGTAACCTCAGGTATTTATTTCCCAAATTTAATACTTTAAAAGAAACATAAGTGCTTTGCACAACAATCCTGGGAGATGGGCAGGGAGGAGTATACCCATTTACAGATGAGAAAACATACTCAAGAAAGTTTAAGCCA